TACATTCCTCTGGTATTCCCTGCTTTCAGCCAAGATCCATCTAACATCAGCTACAATATCTCTAGTACCACGACCCCTTCTAAACCCAGCCTGGACTTCCAGCAGTTTTCTGATAATGTGTTGTTCCAGTCGTTTTTGGATAATCTTCAGTAGAATCTTGCTTACATGCTCATATAAAACATATACCTAGATCAAGAAGCTGTTTTCCAAACAGAGCATGGGAATACTGGTTTTAAATCAAGAAAGTAGTGTCAGGGTTATATCTTTTGTCCATACCTACTCAGTCTGTATACTGAGCAAATAATTCACAAAGCTGGACTCTATGAAGAAGAATGTGGCATCAGGATTGGAAGAAAGCCTGAACTATTCAGATGACACTACCTTGCTTGCAGAAAGTGAGGGGGACGTGAAACACTACAGAGGAGTAAAGAATACATACTTCAATATGGACTTCATCTCAACATCAAGAAGATGGAACTTCTCACCACTAGTTTTAAGTTTTCAATGATTTTCTCTTACTTGGATCCACAATCAACACCCTTGATCAGGAGACGTTGCATTGGTCAAGACCACTGTCATGAACCAAATTACCGAGGAGCCGTGATAATCAGTCTGATGAAGACCACACAGTCTTTTCAATCATTTGCTGTGCATCTGAAAACTGGACAACAAATAAAAATGACACAGGAAGAATTGATTCTTTTGAGTTGTGATGTTGGAGAAGAATACTGAATATCCCATGGACTGTCAAATGAACAAACAGTTATGTCTTGGAAAGTGTAACCAGACTGCTTCTTAGAGGCAAGAATGGCAAAACATCATCTTACATGCTTTGGACATGTTGCTAGGAGAGGCTATTCCTTGGAAAGGGACATAATGTTTGGAAAGGTGGTGGATCAGCAGGAGAAAGGAAGACCCTCTACAAGATAGATTAACACAGTAACTGCTGATATGGACTAAATTGTGTCAGAGATAAGAATGGTACAGAGATGAGGACGGTACAGGATAGGGCAGGGTTCAGATTGTTGGTTATAAGAGCACTCAGGGGGTACCTGACTCAAAGGCACCTAATAATAAAAACAACATTTCCATATAAGTGTTTTTCATTTTTTTTCACTATTACATAATGGTCATTGAGACAAGAAACCTCAACTTATTACCACCAAATCTATTCTACCTCACAGTGACCTTCCATCAGATTTCTGGGAATATAAATCTTAATGGGAGGAGACTGGTCATCTTTCACCCACAGGGTCGCAAGCAAATTTGAACTTCCAGAGACTTGTAGCCTTTCAGTTAGAGGCACAACACTTTAAGAAGTATGCTACCAGAACTCCTTATAACTGTCGTTGTTGTTGTTATGTGCCATCAAGTCACCTGTGACCCATAGCGACCCTATGTACAGCAGCTCTGAATCCTGCCCTGTCCTGAGCCAGTCTCACTAATTCTAATACACCAACCCCCACTGCCCTAGTCACTACATCAGTCCCATCTCCTGCAGGGTCTTCCCCTGCTGCGCTGCCCCTCCACCTTTCCAAGAATAATGTCCTTCTCCAAGAATTGGTCCCTCTGGGTACATGCCCGAAGTATGTGAGACAGAGCTTCAAAATCCTAGCCTCCAAGGAGAAACTTGGTTTCACTTGCTCCAAGACAGAACTATTGGTTTTCTTGGCCCTCTGAAACCACATTTTGCTTTGCTAGTTGGACAATGACCAAAGAGGATAGAAGGAGAATTGATGCCTTTGAGCTGTGGTGCTGAAGAAGAGTATTGAGAATATCATGGACTGCTAGGAAAACAAACAGGGTTAAACTGGGTGGCTCCTTGGAGGCAAGGATTCTGAGGCTCCATCTAACATACTTTGGACATGTTGTGAGGAGAGACTGGTCCTTGGAGAAGGACATCATGCTTGGGAGGGTGGAGGGACAGCGCAGGAGGGGAAGGCCCTCTATGAGGTGGACTGATTCAGTGACTGGGATAATCAGGATGGGAGTGTCAGAGACAGTGCAATTGGCACAGGACAAAGCAGAGTTTAGGGCTGTTGTACATAGGGTCGCTATGAGTCGCAAGTGACTCAAGGGCACATAACAACAACAGTCTTTCTTCAGGTCAACCCAAAAGAAACAACACAATCAAATGCCTTTGCATAGTCAGTGAAACAGAGAGACATTCCTCTGGTACTCTTTGCTTTCTGCCAGATCCATTTGACATTGGCAATACAGTCTCTAGTGCTATCTCTTCTAAACCCAGCTTGTATTTCTGGTAGTTCTTTGTCAAAGTCGTTTCTGGATAATCTTCAGCAGGAATTGGCTAGTGCGTGATATCAGTGATATTTTTCGGTAATTTACACGCTCTGTCATTAGATAGTAAAAAAGCTAAGACATTTAAAATGTTTATTTTCTTGTGCTCTTGTTATTATTCATGGCTCTTTTAAAGGACTCTCTGGTGGCCTAGTAGGTAAAGAGCTGCACTGTCAATCCAAAGGCAGGTGGTACAAATCCAGCAGCTGTCTGTGAGAGAAATATGGATAATCTCCTATGCAATTGAAAGCCTCTGAAACTCAGTACAGGTCAGCTGTGAGTCAATTCCAACTTGATGGCACATAACATTTATTTTAAAATTCATCTTGCAGGAAAGTGATAGGATATTCTGGGGGGAAAACCGCTATGTTTCCTTTGGTGGCTATTGTTGTGTAACATTGAGAACCAACCTTCCAGTGGGTTTTCAAAGACAATGAATTTCATAGAAGGAGAATGCCCATCTTTCTCCCACATGCTTTTGGGTTGGCAGCATAGTTCCTTACCATTAAGCCTTCTGAGTTCCCTGGCAAACTTTACTTTAAGAGATTTACTTTATTTCCTGTCAAGCTTTACTTTACAAGTAAAATCATTTAGAAAAACAATATAAAAAGATCAACTCCATAAAATATGTTCCCTCCTCTTACAAAACTATCTTCTCTTAACTCTATCAAAATTTCACAAGTTTCATCAATCTTAGAACTAATACTTTAAAACAGACCATTAAAAATAATTTAAATATTAAACCTAAAATTTCTCAGAGAAAATAGTTATCTATTAAGTTGTAAAGGAAGTAAATATACTTACGACTAAATGGTGACACGTATTTATCCCCAATAGTAATATATTCCATCTCACTGAAGAGGCCAATCCTGTCCATATCAGACTTTCCTCCTTCCCCAGGCATTGTTGCTCCTTGAGGTGGTGTTCTCTATACTCGTGACTTCAGAAGACTCCTTAGGGATGCAACTTTTATAACAAAACCTCATTTTATAATGGAAAATACAAGAGGCACAGTTGGGGGGGGAGAACAATTAGTAAACTTTAATAAAAATTATTTCAGCCTCAGAATTTTCAAGCTTGATATAACAAGCCATTAGGCTCCAAAATACATGAGAAAAGAAGCTAGTCTGTGGTGTTCAGGGCAAATAAGGGGATTCAAAATCATCACCTTGAACCCATCCCTTGATTTTCCATAAAACCCACCCTTCCAAACCAAACTCACTGCTATCAAGACAATACTGACACATAGTGGCCCTAAGGCACAAAGTAGAACTGCTTTTTCCAAGGCTGTCAATTTTTGCTGAAACAGACTGTCCCATCTTTCCCCCAGCGAATGGTGGATCTGAACCACCAATCTTTCACTAATTAGCTCAATGATTATCCTATAGCTATTGTTGTTGTTAGGTACCATAAAATTGAGCACGACTCATAGCAATCCTATGAACACCAAAAACAAATATACACACAAAACCTAAGGTACCCTGGTGGCCTGGGGATAAGCACTGCAATCCCAAACGCACTCGGTTCAAATTCATCAGCTGTTCTGCAAGAGAAAGATGGGAAATCTCTTCCCACGCGGCCAGGAGGGACCAATCCTTGGAGAAGGACATCATACTCGAAATGGTGGACCCACAGCGCAGGAGAGGAAGATCCCGGATGAGATGGATTGATACAATAACTGGGGTAGTAGGGGTTGGTGTGTTGGAATCAGTGAGACTGGCTCAGGAAAAAGCAAGCTTCAGAGCTTCTGTACACTGGGTCACTATGAGTTGCAGGCGACTCAATGGCACATAACAACAAGTTAAGAAGAATGCGACCTCTGGTGGCCTAGTGGCAAGAAGCTGCACCACAATCCCGAAGTCTCGCAGTTCGAGGCCACCAGCTGCTCTGTGGGAGAAGGATGGACAATCTCCTCCCATGTGATTAACTGCCTCTGAAAACCAGCCAGAGGGATCAGCTATATTAAGTTCCAACTTAACGGTACACAACAACAAAAAAGTGCTAAGAATACTTTGATTTCGTCAATCTGTTTCTAGGCATCAGCTAGGAGGTAGTCAGTGAAGTCTGGTGTTCTGGTAGTAAGAAGTTGCACTACCACCAAAGACAGGCAGTTTGAATCCACCAGCTGCTCCACAGGAGAAAGATGGGCCCTCTCCCAGTGCAACTGACAGTCTCTGAAAACCCACTGGAGGGTCAGATATGAGTCAGCTCCAACAGAACATGGAAACATGAGGTAGGCACTGGATTTTTGTACATTTCTGCAGAAGGCATACATTGACCTAAGACTCCAAATTTATAACTCAGTGCCTTGTCAAAGCTTTTTTTCTTGAATTTACAGCAAATATTCTTTAAATGGAGCCATGGTTTATTTGAGCAGGAATCATGGCTAATGTTGACATCAAAGGAGCAAATGAAGATTAATCTAAAGCATAAGCGGGAAAAGAACACTGCCTCATTCCATATTCTTCTGACCAGATCTACTTTAAATATAAATCTTAGTGAGTAAAGATTGAGTTCCCAAATGGAAAGCTTCATAATGTTGGGAAGGTGTTGTGTGCCAAATCAATTCTACCTCATAGCACTGTCACAGGACAAAGTCAGGCTGCCCTATGGGGGTCTCAAGCGATAATCTTCAAGGGACAAATCTCCCACAGACTTACTGGTGAGGGAGTTGAAATCACAGACTTTTCTGTTAGCCATCCAGTACTTTACCACTGTACCATCAAGGTTCCTTTTCAGAATGTAATATTTCCATTCATGTCCTATTTCCAAACAAACCCCTACCCTCTCATCACCAAATAAACAAAGGCTTTCTGTATTCATGATGTTGTTAAGGGCTGTTGAAGGAGGACCAACTCATAGCTGACTCTCCAGTGGCTTTTCTTAAACAATTCATTGCCATCAAGTTGGAACAGACTCCTCGCTGACCCATCAGTGAGTCTTCAGAGGCTATAAATTGCACAGTGGAGATTACCCATCTTTATCCCATGGAGCAATTGATGGATTAGAACTACCTGCCTTTGGGGTGGCAGCAGAACTATTAGTCATGAACCCACCAAAGCTCAAACCAGAGTTGATTGCTCACTATCTTTCTCCCAAGGAACAGCGAGTGAATTTGCATTCCCAATCTTTGAGTTAGCAGTGCAACTCCTTACCCAGTAGGCCACTAGGCTAAAATTCTTTTAAAGGGTCACAAGGTCATCTGGTATCATGTGCATCCCTTCTCTGGCACCCTGGTTGCATCTGTCTCCTTTCAGTTGACAGGTGCATTGCACAAGCTGTATTACTCCAGTCAGGAAACGTCACCTTCATAAAGCAAACACTTCTTCAGCTGTCTCAACACGTTCATCACTTCTTAACAAAGGCAAGGAATCCTGGTAACTCCATAACTAAGTGCGCAGCTCTTAAACAAAAGGTCAGTGTTCAAATCCACCAGCTAGCTATTCCAAAGGAGAAAGATGCCTCCCATCTGCTTCTATAAATATTATAGCCTTGAAGACCTATGAAACAGTTTTACCCTGTCCTAAAACATCACAATAATAATGGATTGATGGCAATGTGTTTGGGTTTTTTGGTTTATTATAACAATAAGTACTTGTTCTAAGTTCTCGAGTTATCATTTTACATTAATTGTGTAATTGTTAATTGTTTAACATTTGTCGCTCCCCCGCCCCCACCCCCACCCCCATAAACTGTTGTCTCCACTAAGGCAAGAATTATAGGATGAGTTTGGTTAGTTTGTTGCCAGTAAAAGAACAAAGAAATCTGACTTAGAAGAAGTATAGCCAGGGTGTTCCTTAGAGCCAAGGAGGGTGAAATTTCATCTCACAGACTTAGTGCTTATTGTTAAGAAGGGCCAGTCCCTGGAAAAATACATCATGGTGAAAGTAGTTTTTGTTGTTGTTATGTGCCATCGAGTTGCCTGCAACTTATAGCAACCCTATGTAAAATAGCTCTGAAGACTGTGCTGTACTGAGTCAGTCTCAATGACTCTGATACACCTCCACCCATTGCCCTAGTTACTGTATTTGCCATCTCATCTGGGGTCTTCCTCTCCCACACTGTCCCTCCACCCTACCAAGCATGATGTCCTTCTCCAAGGATAAGTCCCTTCCTGGCTACATGCCCAAAGTATGTGAGACAGAACTTCAAAATCCTAGCCTCCAAGGAGAATGCTCCAATCTGTATGGTGAAAATCATTAAAAAGATGGATTATTTTTAAAATATGGCAGGAGGATTGGAAGAAGACTAATCAACAACCTGTCCTGCAGACGATTCCACCTCACTTGCTGAAAGAGGACTTGAAACATTTGCTGCAGAAGATCAGAGACTACAGATTTCTATATGGATTACATCTCAACATCAAAAAAACAAAAATCTTCATCTGGACCAATAGGCAACATCATGATAGATGGAGAAAAAGATTTAAGTTGTCTGTGACTTCATTTTACTTGGATCCATAATCCACATCCATGGTAAAAGCGCTAAAGAAACCAAAAGATTTCTTTATATTGGGAAAAATCTGCTGTCAAGGACCTCTCCAAAGTACTAAAGAGCAACGGTATTAAAGACTATGCTTCTCATCCAAACCATAGTGTTTTCAATTACTTCCTACACATTTGAGAGTTGGACAATGAATAAGGATGGTAGAAGAATGAATCATCCATGCCTTTGAATTTTGGTATTGGAGAAGAGTATTTATTATCTCATGCACAAACTGCCAAAAGAACAAACTAGTCTGTCTTGGAGGAAGTGAAGTGCTCCTTAGAGCCAAAAATGGTGACATTTAAGCATACTTCGGGAATGTTGTCAGGAGAGGGTTCTCCTTGAAAAGATACCACACTTGGAAAAGTGGAGAGTGAACGACAGAAAGACCCAAAATAAGATGAGACTGACAGTGTCTACAACAATCAGCTCGAGGTAACCAGAGATCGGAGGATGGTGCTAGAAGTAGCAAGGTTCAGATCTTGTTCATACTCGAAGTAGCAAGGTTCAGATCTTGTTCATACTCGAAGTAGCAAGGTTCAGATCTTGTTCATACTCTATCATTATGGATGGTAGGTAGTCCACTCAGTAGCACCTAACAACAACATATATGGACCCTGTTAACTCTTTGTAAGGTATGGCCAAAGATGAGCAAACACTGCTAAAACAAACAATCAACAAACCCAAAGAAAGAAAGAAACCTCAACAGCTGACACTCCATTGGATTCGCATGGCTGTAAATCGCAAGGGAGCCAAGTGTTCGCTTTTCTCCTGCACAGGCACTAGTGAATTCGAACCGCCTGACAAGCTCAGACTTTGAGTTAGAAGCACAACTCCCGTAGAGACTAGGCAACTCTATCTCCCGAGGGAAATAATTTCCCATTAGTGAAACGGAGGCTCAGGAGTGCAAGTATATCTAAGAAACACCTAGGGGCCCAGGAGGAACAATTCACCTCTCAGAAAGGTACCCAATCCGACAAAAAAGATAAGATAGCCCCAACTGGTCTTTGTTAACTCAGATCGCGGAGGAGACCAGGGAACAGGCACCAGCGCGCGAGTCCACGAGCCTGAGACTCAGGATGCGGAGGAGCTTTGCACGTTCTGAAGACAGTGGGCGTTTGTTGAGGGTCGTTGCCAGGATGCGAGAGACTCTATTTCGAACCCTCTGAAAGCGGACACAGGACGATTTCAAGCCACGTTCAAGGTACGTACAAGAGATCTCAGCCTGTGTAGACTAGGAATACTTCAAGCAGGAGTATATAGCGAGAATTAGTCTCCTGTTTCTTGTCTCTATCCCAAGGCACGGAGACTGGAGACTGAGTATGGTACAGCCATGACATCATCTGCTGAGCATGTCGGGAGTTGTAGGCGGACCTCCGAGGCCCCGCCCCCCGACCCCGCCCCTTGCCCTGGCTGCAAAGCTACTTCCGGGCTGGTGTGCAGAGCCTGTGGCCCACGTCAGCCGACATGGTGAGTACTTTTGTTCACCATCAAACTCCCCATTTCTCCTCCAACTTGACAGCTGCGGCGAGTACAGCTCTGGAGCTTGCTCTGCCGAATGGCAGCTGCCTGGACTGTGGCTAAGGTGGTCCTAGTTCATCGTAGTTCCTTCCTCTCACCTAGAACAGGAGTGACCCTGTTCTGACAACCTTGCAGTGGGCTTCTGGACACGCGCACTCCCTTGTGCCTCCTCCATGCATACATTCTAAGAACGAGGGCATTGTTTGGTGTTTTTTAAGGTTTTGACTTGGGAAAGATAGACAGGATATACTTCTGTTACTTGATTACGCTGACTTCCGTAAGGGAGTTTCATTAGTGTAATAGGTAGTTATTGGCGCTGCTAACCAAAAGGCGAGTCTGGGGGTTCTAATCCACCAGGGGCTCCCAAGGAGTGAGATGGTCACCTCCCGTGCAATTTCCAGCTTCAGAAAAGGGTGACTTTGCGTTGGAACTGATGGCAGTGACTTTGGCTTTGACTTATGAAATGCCACTTTCCTGGTTTCCCTACTATCTTAATTGCTCAACCAGGTCTTCCAACCTCATTTTATGCAGTGATGCTCTTCAGGTACACTTTTCCTTATACCCTGCGCCTTCTCTTGAATTTGTATCTCCAGCTCAGCACTTTCCTTTGAACCCCAGCTATCATAATTGCTCAACCAGGTCTTCCAACCTCATTTTATGCAGTGGTGCTCTTCAGGTACACTTTTCCTTATACCCTGCGCCTTCTCTTGAATTTGTATCTCCAGCTCAGCACTTTCCTTTGAACCCCCGATCCGTATCTTTAATATTGTACAGACGGAATGCTTTCTACAAATAAAGGGTGGTGAGACTTCATTTCACATAATTAGGACATATTATCAGAAGGAAACAGTCTCAGGAGAAGAACATCGTGCTTAGCCAATGAAGGTCAGCCAAAAAGAGGAAGATGCTCCTTTGGCTGCCAACAATAGACTCCAACAGCAAAGACTGCCAAGATAGCACCAGAGCTAAGGCTATTAAAACTCCGTGGAGGGGGTAGTTTTTAACAATAAAAATGTGTTGTCTTACGATTCTAGAAACTTGGAGTCCACATAATAGTGCTTTGTTTTTTTCTCCATACTAGGAAAAGAGCCTTGTTTGGGGGGGAGAGTGTGTGTGTGTGTGTGTGTGTGTGTGTGTGTGAGAGAGAGAGAGAGAGAGAGAGAGGGAGAGAGTCCCAGATATTTCATAGCATTGCTTAGCTTGTTGATTCTTCACATGGTCATCTTCCTTCTGTGTCTCTCAGTGCCTACTCTTTTTTATAAAGACAGTACTCAGATGAGATTGTTAATGTCTACCATCAAGTTGAAACTGACCCATAGCTGGCCCTCTAGCAGGTTTTCAAAGGCAGTTAATCAAAAGGGAGGAGATGGCCTTTCCTTCTTCAGTGTAACAGCTGGTGGATTTGAACTGTGTAGCTTCTGGGTTACAGCACAGCTTCTTACCACTAGGCCATCCCCACCAAACTCTGGTAAGGGAGCTCTCGTGGTCTAGTGGATAAGTAGTTGTGCTTCCAAGCCGAAGGATGTGGTTCAAATCCACCAACTGACTAGGGAGAAGGGTGGGTGGTCTTCTTTACTGCTTCTGAAAACCTGCTGGAGGGTCTGCCATGAGTTAGTTCTGACTCAAGTGCAATTAGAGAGAAAGAGAGATATTCTGGTATTTCTGATGTTAGCTAGTTAACATTTTTGGAGACCTCATCTCAAAAATGGTCAGCAGCTCTGAGGGAGAAGAATGGGCAATCTCCTTCTGTGCTATTTAACTTGCACTGGAGGGCCAGCTATGGGGTCAGTTCCAACTTGATGGTACACAACAATATCATCTCCAAATATGATCATGCTTACAGGTACCAGGGACTAAGATTTAACATCTTTTAGAGAGAAATAGATCAATCCATAACAAAATTTCGCCCCCCCCACTAAAATATTTGTATTGTGTTTTAGGAGGACATCTACTCAACAAATTTAGTTTGCATTTTACAGTTTCTACACAATATACATTGACATTGGTAATATTACTCATAGAGTGTCAGTTTTCTTATTTTTTTCCCACTCTGATTATTCCATTTCCAGTAATTTCTCTGCCCTCTTACCATCTCATCTTTGCTTTTTAGTAAATGTTAGCCATTTGCTTTTATATAGATAATTTTCTTAAAGGAGCCCAACCCTCATGGTTAATATTGATTTGGTGAGCCAAAGAGATCTTTAAAACTTTCAGAAAAAATTTTACGCATACATGATGCATGTCATATGTCACTGACTACCTGAACCTCAAACATGGGATGAAGAACTCCTTGTAAGTAGCATTTTGCAAGTGATGTTTTGATTTTATAAGTTGCACATATTTTCCAATGTCATTAAATATTCCTTTGAAACATGATTTTTTATGACTATATAGTTTTAACCAACCTCTTGTTGACATTTAGGTTAATATATATATTTTATACATTTCCTGAGACTTAAGTTTCTGAAAACAGAATTACTAAGTCAGCACAAGTGAATATAATGCTTTTGATTCTTAGTGTCACATTTCCCAATAAAATATTCTAGTTAATACCTCCACCATCAGGATCTATTTGTCCCATTATTGCTTTGATGATTCTGGCTGTTATCCTGTTAGACTCAGTACTCTTTTTACATCCTTAAAGTAGTTCTGTAAGTGATCTCTGGTGGCCTCATGGTGAGGAGTTGCACTGTTAGCCCATAGGCAGGGTGTTCAAATCCACCAGCTGCTTCGTGAGAGAAGGATGGGCAGTCTCCTCCCGAGAGATTTACTGCTTCTGATATCTCACTGGAGGGTTAGCTATGAGTTGGTTCCTACTTGATGGTACATAACCAAAGTAATGAAGTAGTTTTTTTACCCTTAATGCTTTCATGTTATTATTAAACTTACTGTTAGAACTAAAATATAGGAATTGTTAGTGACTTGTAATGGTTCTCAGCCTATTCCCTTTAGAGTCACCAGGTTGTACAGACTTTGAAATAATCCTGCCTAGGCCTGCCTGGACAAATGAATGAGGATTTCGGAGAGTCCAGCTCTGGTATAAATGTTTAATCTCTCCCTGTTATTTCAGTATTGAATAAAAGTTGAGAAACTCGGATTTAGAATTTTAGGGTTTTTCAGTTTTGTTTTCTCTATGAAGTAAGGAATTAACTCAAAATCATTTGAAGAATCAAGCTTAATTCATAATATAATGTAACCTTAAATAGACTAACATTGGTATGAGTGTGCTTTTTCTTTTTTATAATGAAATTTTGGTTTTATTTGTCTTAGGTGATTTCAGAGACTATGGATATACTCTTCAGAATAAGAGGAGGCCTGGATCTAGCTTTTCAGCTAGTTGCTGCTAATGGTAAATCTTCCCCCAACAACAATGGGAGGGGGGGAAATCCCTCACAATCTTCTTTTTTTTTTACAAATTGATGAAATATACTGGGATTATTTCCATTTAGCAAATGAAAATTAGTAGGAAGAATAAGCTGTCTATGATCATATAGCAAACTGACAGATAAGTGTTATGCTCCTAATAGCAAATCAGGCATATAAATATCATGGTTCAGGGCGTATCTGAGGCCCATAGTGGCAGAGTAGAAAGGGCCCCAGGTGAATGCTGGAACCTTCCAGCTTAGACTCTCAGCCGTTACCAGTGGATAATGTTCCAGGTAAGGGTGATAACTTGACTGGATCTCTGATACAAGGGCCAAAAGAGGAGGAGGTGGTGTTCATATTGCTGTCTTCAGGGCTAATCCCTTCTCTAAGCCTGGAAACTGAACAAATGGATGTCAGGAAAGTCTCTGAAAATTGCACTAGAACATTGAGAATCCAAAACAAAGGGAAGAGATACAGAAGTAAAAAAAGCTGAACAAAAGATTTCAAAGGGCAGCTCAAGAAAACAAAGCAAAGTATTGTAACAGAATGTGCAGAGAGCTGGAAGTGGATGAACTCGATCAGCATTTCTCAAGCTGAAAGCACTGAAAAATTCAATCCTCAAGTAGTAATACTGAGAAACGTGAGCAAAATCTTGAACAATCCAGATAGCATCAAAAGAAGATGGAGGGAATACAGAGTGACTGTACCAAAAAGAGCTGGTCAACACTGAAAAATTCCAGGTAGAACCATATAACCAAGGGCCAATGGTGAAGAAGGAGGAAGTTCAAGCTGCATTGAAGGCATTGGCAAAAAAATAAGGGTCCAGGATTCAAAGAAGTATGAATTGACATGTTTCAAATGACGGATGTAGGCCTGGACCTGCTCATTAGTCTATACCAGGAAATATGGAGCACAGCTATCTTGCTGACTGACTGGAAGAGATCCATATTTGTTCCCATTCCAAAGAAAGGTAGAATATAGAAATTTTCAAACAGGAATTATCACATGCACACACGGTATTGCTGAATATCACCCAGTCAGCTAGGAGAGACTTGCCAAAAGTTCTAGTTGAGTATAATTAAGGCCGTGGCACCAGGGATATTATTGCTGATGGCAGATGCACCTGACTGAAACAGAGAATACCAGAAGAATGTCTCTTGCTTTATTGACTATGCAAAGGCATTTGAGTGTGTAGGTTATTACAAATGAGGGCTAACATTGAGAAGAATGGGAATCCCAGAACACTCAACATGCTTATGAAAACCTATAACCACACCCAGAGGCTGTTGTACAAACAGAGCAAAGAACACTACATGGTTTAAAATTAAGAAAAGTGTACATCAGGGATATATCCTCTCTCCATGCCTAGTCAGTCTGTATGCTGAGCAAATAATTCCAGAATCTGGAGTCTGTGAAGAAGAATGTGGTTTCAGGATCAAAGTGAGGTCTTGAAACACTTGCTGCAGAAGATCAAAGACCACAGCCTTCAATATGGACTCTACCTTAACATCAAGAAAGCAAACAAACAAAAATCTCACCACTTAGAAAACATTATGATAGATGGAGAAAAGATTAAAATTGTCAACTATTTCATCTTTCTTGGAGCCCTAATCGCATTGTTGGTACCAGCAATCAGGAGATATATCACATTGAAAAAGTCTTCAGTCAGGGACCTCTCCAAATTATTGAGGAACAATGATGTCACCTTGAAAGTAGGGTTCTCCTGATTCAGGCCTTGGCCTCTTCACGTCAACCTGCTATGTGTCTGAGAGCTGGGAAATAAATAAGCCTGGCAGAAGAAGAATTGATGCTTTAAGCTTTAAGTTGAAGAAAAGTGCTGGATATCTTATGGACTACAAACAGATATATCTTGGAAAATATGCAGCCAGAATACTCCTTGAAAGCAAGGGTGGTGAACCTTCATCTCATATAATTCCTTGGAAAGGGACATCATACTTGGAAAGGTGGCGAGCTGGTGAAAGAGTGGAAAACCCTCAATGAGATGAATTGACACAGTGATTGCAGAAATGGGCCCTAGTATGTCAGAAATTATGAAGATAGCACATTTTTATGACAGGGTTCGGATCTGTAGCTCATAGGATCACTCTGAGTTGTATTCAACTCTTTACAGCATGTAACAGCAACTAACAACAAAGATCACAGAGCTAGTAAGTACTATAAAGGGAACTTTAACTTGAAAATTGTGTCCTGCAGCACTAGCTAGACCTACAGCACTAGCCTGTAGGTTACCTCTGTGCAAATGAGAAAAAATCTGGTTTATAAAAAATACTTCACAGGCCTATCTCAGAGAATTATCAAAATAAGTATAAATATCCACAATGAGCACAATGTATATAATACACCTACACTGGCACTTTGACTTTCAACTATACATGAAAAATTCTGAATCACCAGAGCCTACTTTCTAATAAACATTTTATTGCAAAAAGAAAAAGCATTGGTGGCACTGTGATTTAAGCACCCAACTTATCTATAGGAAAGAAATGTCACCGTTTTTTTCCAGAAATATTTCCTGCCTTGGAAACTCTATGGGTCAGTTCTAGTTTGTTCTGGAGGGTCACTATGTGTTGGGACCAACTTGAAGGCAGTGGATTTTAAGTTTTGGTATTACAATGAGTACCATTAACAGTGTGGGAGAAAAATCAATAAATTTATATAAAGTGTGATCTAGGATTCTTTCCAGTTTCCGACTTAAGCTACTTACTGACAGTAACAGATGTGGCCTGCGTCATGATAGCTGCATAGGACAAACAAATTCAAGATCAACAGGCAGAATGTTCTGGTGCTGGTTCAAGGCCGAAGAACCAGAGGTCACATGGTGACAAGTTGGATGTATGATCCAAATGGAGCAAAATTCAACAGAGTATTGCCAAAATGAGCTTATATATTTGACGCAGGCCACATCTGGAGGAAACGCCCTTTGAACTGATTGGCTGCTCCTAGCATGTCTCACTATGGGAGCATTACGATGTATCAGATCTCAGCTAAAGGGTAATAGCATCAGAACTGCAAACCTGAGAACTCATGGGCAGCCACGCTGACACCACAGACTTAACACACAGACACCAAATGCAAATCCCCGACAAGAATTTATTGAAAATTAGGATAGGATAGTCAGAGTTGGAACTAAAGAATGTAATGTCTCAGAAAGAATATTTAACATATTTACAATAAATAATATTAAGACAGGGTAGCATAATTGTTCAAACAGTACACTTGGAAGAACCTCAAAAGACAACCCTCACAATTTGGTTTTTAAATTTCATAGCCTTGAAAAACCCTAAAAACAGTTTGCATGTATAAGGTTACCATGTGTTAGAATAGCCTTGACAATGAGTAATGACAATAAAAACAATCAGCCAAAATGATAAAAAGACAAAAAGCATTTTTTGGGTAGGTTTTAAGTTTGGATAAGTCAATATTACTTTCCTCTTACTGTTAATAGGGTTTTGAAAGGACTGTCTTTTAACATGTTGCCGCTAATGACGGTAAAACTTTGGAAAAATAAATGTGTTTCTAAGCACGGTTGTCAATTTAAAAGTATGTGGCAACGTGTTAATAAGTGGATGACGAATCCTGCTTCCAGAAAGCATAAAAGAACATGGAGAGAATACAGTCACTGTACCAAAAAGAATTGACTGACACTGAAAATTTCAGAAAGTATCAGATGAGCAGGAGCCAATGTTAATGAAGAAGGAAATGGAAGCTGCATTAAAGGCATTGGTAAAAAATAAGGCCCCAGGAATCAATGGGATACCAATTGACTTGTTTCAGAGCAGATGTAGCCATGGATGTGCTCACCAGTCTATGCCAAGAAATTTTGAGGACAGATGTCTACTAAGAGATTGGCAGGGATCTTTATTTGTTCCCATTCCCAAGAAAGATGATCCAACAGAATGTGGAAACTATCAAACAATATCATTAGTAACATATGCATGCAAAATACTGCTGAAGATGAATCAAAAATGGCTAGACCAGTACATAGATAGGGACCTGACAGAAGCTCAAGCAGGATTTAGAAGAGGCCGTGGGCCTAGGGATATCATTGCTGATGGCAGATGGATTCTGGCTGAAAGTAAGGAAAACCAGAGGAATATCTATGCTTTACTGAGTATGCAAAGACATTTGACTGTGAATATCAGAACTAATTATGGCTCACCTTGGGGAGAATGGTAATCCCAGAGCACTTAATTGTGCTCATGCAAAATCTATACCTGGACCAGGAGGTTGTTGTGTAAACAGAGCAAGACAACACTACATGGTTTAAAATTAAGAAGAGAATGTGTCAGGGTTGTATTCTTTCTCCATACCTCTTTATTCTGTATGCTGAGCAATTTTTTCCCAGAAGCTAGACTCTATAAAGAAGAATGGTGCATAAAGATCAGAGGGAGATTCATCAATAACCTGCATTATACAAATGATACAACCTTGCTCACTGATAGTAAGGAGGACTTGAAGCACTTGTTGCAGAAGCTCAAAGAATACAGCCTTCAGTATGGATTACACATCAATGTCAAGAAAATAAAGATTCTTCTCACTGGACCAACAGGCAGTATCATGACAGATGTAGAAAAGATTAAAATTATCGATGACCCCATTTTACTTTGATCCATAGTTAGAGACCTCTCCAAATTATTGAGGAGTAATAATGTCAGTTTGAAGACTAAGGTGTGTCTGAATCAGGCCATGATCTTTCTGATCACTTGCTATGCATCTGAGAGCTGGACAATGAATAAGGAGAATTGATGACAGAAGAATTGATGCCTTTGAGCTGTGGGGAAGAGCACTGAACATCCCATGGACTGCCAAAAGAAAAGACAAATATATCTTGGAGAAGGTACAGCCAAAGTGTTCTTTGGAGGCAAAGATGATGACACATTGCCCCACATACTTCGGGCATGTTGCTATTAGGGGCTATTCCTTGGAGAGGGACATAATGCTTGGGAAGGTGGAGGGCTGGTATTTTTTCGTTAACTTTTGTGTTGGTTTTTTCTTTTAATGTAGAAATCTGTATCAAAAAAGCACTCAAACATGTGTTGAGTGACCTGTCAACCAAGCTTTCTTCAGATGCACTTGTGCTCAGAATTTGCCACAGTTCAGTGTATGTATGGCCCAACAGTGACATGAACACCATTCCAGGAGAACTGAGTGATAATTCGGCTTGTAAGAACATAATGCGTTTTATTCAGTGAGTATCTTTAAAGGTTGTTAAAAATATTTTCAGATCTTTATTTCATATTATAAACTTTATTATGTATTGAAATTTAGATTTGAACAGGAAGAAGATACAAAACGAAAGTTTATGAGAAAGAAAGAAAAAAAGCTGTCAGATATGGTAAGCTATAACATTACCTATTGAAAAACTTAATTCTTGAATTTGGAGCTCAGTGGGATTTTTTGGATTATTTAAATAAGCCCTCTTGTTTTCACCAATCACAAAACTGAGGTGCGGGAATATTAAATGACTTGATAAGGCTATATTGCTGTATTATATATTTAAACTTTTGTTTCATTATTATATATATCCTGAAAGTTCTTCTGGATGCTTTCTATGCTGCCAGAATACAATTAGTACATTTATTGTTTAGAAATAAGCAAAAAGAAATAATTCTGAAATGTAATCAGGTAATTGATTTTGATGTACAAGATAATAAGTAATGATTTCTTTCGCCTCACTATTGCTGCTTCTACTAATTATACACTATTATTTCTGAGTACCTGTCATATGTCAAGGAAATTCTGGTGGCATAGTTTGTAGGAAGTTGCTCTGTTAACCTAAAAACCATCCCTCTCCTGTGGTTTTGATCCACCAGTGATTTCTTTTTTTTTTGTTTGTTTAGATTTTTTTTTTAAATCTGATTTTTTTTTCTTTTTTTTTTTCTATAATTATATTTTATTAATTTTCATAAACATTTACAGAGATTTTGGGCTTCCACTCATTCATTGTTGCACTATTCTCTCTACCCTCCTCCCAGTTTGTTCTTGTCCAAATGCCACAGTGCTTGTCAAAGCCAGTTCTGATTAATCTTCTTTGTCAGTGTATCCTTTGCCATTCCCTATCACTCCTCCCTGAGAGAGACTTCACCCTGAGTCATAAGGAAAAGGGGACGGCGTATTCTCTTAGGTACTTCCTGCTGAAAAGGGACGCTGTGGGTTTCAGGGTGAAGATCTTCTCTCACTACTCTAAAGGGCCCCTTTGGCAGTAGGAAACACATAGACTATTATGGAGATTGATTTTGGAATTTAGATGCACTCTTATTGATTGTGCTTGGCTGTACATGTTCATATCCTTGAAGATGTATCATGGGGGTGTTGCAACCTAGAAGACACAAATTTGACTAACAAGTTATAAGTACATGAGTCCAAAAATTATGGAAAAGTAAAAGAAAAGATTCTTTCATTGTTTTACAAACCCTCCCCCAGGTCTCCTCCACCATGCAGCCCTCGCTCTAGTCTCCTGTGATGACAGAAATACCCAGTTACATCTCTCTTTTAAACGGTTTTGATCCACCAGTGATTTCTTGAGAGAAAGATGAATAATCTCCTCCCATGTGATTGACAGCCTCTGATAACCCACTGAAGGTCAGCTAAGAGTGGTTATGAGTGTCGTATGCAAAGAACTTTGTTCGTTGTTAGAGATATAAGGTGGAGATTCTTCCTTATTCAAGAAGTTGTATGAGGTTAGTATAACTATATAGGTTTTTCTAGCTTGATAAAGAGAATGGATGTAGATGAGTTTGAGAACAATGTACAGGGAATATTTCATAGAAGACCTGAAGATCTATAAGAATAGAGGCAATGGATCCAAGAGATATTTAGGGGCTGCAATATCTTATATTTGGAAATCAGTTGGATATAGAACGGTAGTTTCTTGGTTTAGTAAAGGTAGCAGATTGAGGTGATAGAAGAACATTTTGGGACATGGTACATTTCAGACAATAGTCAGATGTTCAGATGAACTGTTAAATTGGCAAGTATGGACTTAGTGAAAATTTTCTGAGTTTGGAATAATAATTACAATAATTGAAGATTCTTGTTGTTGTTATGTACCATCAAGTCTCTTGTGACTCAATGACGCTATTTACAACAGCCCTATACCCTGTGCTATCCTGTGCCAATCTTATTGTTTCCAATACACCTACCCCCATTACCCCCATCACTGAATCAGTCCATCTCATCAAGTTCTTCCTCTCTTGGCTATCCCTCCACCCTCCCAAGCGTGACATCCCGCTTCAAGGACTGGTCCCTCCTTGTAATATGTCCAAAGTATGTCATGTAGTTGTTGTTATGTGCTGTTGAGTTGCTTGCCTCCAAGGAGCAGCCTGGTTTAACCCTCTCCAGGATGAATCTGTTTTCTTGGCAGTCCAAGGTACATTCAATACTCTTCTCCAGCACCACAGCTCGAAGGCATCAATTCTCCTTCTATCCTCCCTTGTCATTGTCCAACTCTCTGATGCATAATAAATCATTGCAAAGACCATAGCCTGTATCAGACGCACCTTAGTCTCCAGAGTGACACCATTGCTCTTCAGTACCCTGGAGAGGTCCCTAACAGCAGGAGTGTCATACGAAGCTTAAAAATACTTGCCTCCAAGGAGCAGTCTGGTTTCACCCTCTCTATGATGTATCTGTTTGTTTTCTTGGCAGTCCATGGTACATTCAATACTCTTGTCCAGCACCACAGCTCCAAAGCATCAATTCTTCTTCATTCCTAGTCCATTGTCCAGCTTTCTGACACATAGTAAGTAATTGTAAAGATCATGGCCTAAATCAGGCACACCTTAGTCTCCAGACTGACATCATTGTTCTTCAGTACTTTGGAGAGGTCTCTGACAGCAGACTTTCCCAATGCAATTCATCTTTTCATTTCCTGGCTACTGGTCCAAGAGTGCTAATTTTGGAGCCAAGCAAACTGAAACTGTTAACAATCTCATTCTCTTCATCATCTATCATGATGCTGCCAATTAGCCCAATAGTAAGAATCTTTGTTTTCTTGATGTTGAGCTTGATATTGATATTATTGATATTGATATTGAAGGCTGCAGCCCTTGACCTTCTATAGCAAGCACTTCAGATCATCCTCATTTTAAGCAAGCAGGGTTGTGTCATCTGTATAATGCAGATTGCCGATGAGTCTTCCTCCAATCCTGCTGCTACATTTCTCATCATATAGCCCAGCCTCCCAGATAGTCTGTTCTGCATATAGATTGAAAAAGTGTGGAAATAGGACACAGTCCTGGTGTACAGCCTTCCCAATTTTGAATCATGTAGTGTTTCCTTGCTCTGTTCTGATGACTGCCTCCTGGTCCAATTATGTTGTTGTTCTTAAGTGCCATCCAGTCGGAGGTGACTAATAGTGACCCTGTGAACAAAAGACCTGGACACCTGTATAACTTTCATCCTTTCTTCAGAGGCAAGCTGTTACAGGAAATGGATGCCACTCCTGCTTCCAAACTTGTTTTAATCAGGGAACTCCACCAAACACTGTCCACCACGGGTAACCATTCTTGCATTTGACACATCAGTGTCACAGTGTTCAGCTTCACAGCAACCATAAGTTACCTCTATACAGCAAGTGGACATACAAGGGTTATATGGCCTAGAGGCAGGCCTGAGGTCTGTGGATTAGAGTCATCCACCTTTCGCTTGGGGGCATGACTTTCTGTCCACTAGGCCAACTGATCTCTCTCATTGTTGTTGTTGTTGTTAAGTGCCATCAAGTCGGAGGTGACTCGTAGTGACTATGAACGAAAGACGTGGACAACTTTCGTCCTTTCTCCAGGTTCATAGGGTTTCTAGAGGCAAGCTATCACGGAAGTGGATGCCACTCCTGCTTCCAAGCTATAGGTTTCCAAGTATAGGTTTCACGTAAGTACTGTCAAGTGTTCTGGGATTCTCATTCTTCTCAGAGTCACCCACAGTTTGTTGTGACCACATAATCAAATGCTTTTGCATAGTCAATTAAACACAAATATTTTTTAATTGAATTTAATTGCTTGAATTGAAGCTTAACATTTTTTAAAGATAAGTCAGTTATTTTATAGACAACCTTTCAGTTAGGGTTTGTTTTGTGTTTCTTCTTGATTAGATACAGGTCAGGCATTCTTGGCAGGAATTACACAGAAGAGGCAGTGTTCTCAGTTTTTCCCTTTTATTGGTGATATTAATTTTGATTATGTAGTTAAGGTGTATGTACCAATTTTATTAACCATATTCTTTCCCTTATAATTAGGAAAATATATTTTGAGGCAACACATATATCTTATTCCTCATTTGTTTTTGCCAAGTGTCCATTGATAATTTTTATATTAATCTCATGGTTATAAACTGGTAATTTTTCTGTAATTTCACTCTACATTAGTTAGATGATATTATGCTGTAAGAAAGTTTTCCTTTTCCCTATTTGTTATCTAATACCAAATATAGATTCTTACTTTCTAAAGATAGGAATTTTTTGTAATTATACTAGTTTATTTACAAAATTCAAATTTTTTTTTTCATACCAGATTCTTCCAGTTTCCCTCACCAACCCCCATCAAATTGTACAACACCATGATTAATCCACCACCACCACCACCACCCTGCACATCCTCCACCCTCCCTCCTCAGATCTTCATACTCATTCTACAATAATGCTTTTATACAGTGTTTGTCCTTGTGGGACTGAGTTAGTTCACTCAGCATAATGCTCTCCATTCCCACCCAAGTTAGGTAATAATTTACAAAATCATTGCCCCTACGTGCTGTTGTTGTTTGT